GGTCTACAGGTCCTATTCCGTGTACATTAAGAAGAATAATCTGCCTGGGGAAATAGTGGTCAGATGCTCAAAGAGGCATGTGAGGGATTCTATCCTGAAAACAACTACAGGAACATCCTAGAAAATCGGAGACAAAATCATCAGGATTCTAACAGATATCCCATTTGAAATACGGCAAAAGAGAAATAAATATAAAGACTTAATCCTTTTTCTACAAACAAACAGCATTGCCTACAGATGGTTAGTTCCAGAAGACGTTGTTTTCAAAATACACGATAAAAAAAGAAAAGATTGACTCTGTTCTTAAAGCACGTGAGTTCCTGAGATTGCAGCTGGGAGAGACAGCCGAGGTCGAGAAGGAAGAAGATGACAGCAAATCCAGTGGCGAATTGGACTCGGTGTCTTCCGATGAGGACTCTCTTTCTGATAAGGGGGCGGCTGCCCCCAAAAGTGCATATAAATTGAGGATTAGAAAAGATAAGACAAAATGAAGGCTGAAGGACTCTGAATTGTGCCTTAAAACTTTAGTTTTATTATGGGATGCTCTGGGGGTTCTCTTTTTATCCATCCATCTGTAATGGATAAAAAGATAAATAATTTAGCATAACCGACTATGCTCAAAATAATATTAAACTAACATTTATATAAGTTGTTGTTATGATCTCTTATACTTGGGGTTTTAGTTATTAGTGGTTTTCTTTCCTTTCTCCCTAGATGTAGTAACCCCTTCCCAATTTTTCATTGTAGTTTGTAGTCTATTCAAAATGCAATAAAAAATCCCCTCCAGGGGGCAAAAAAAACCCCACAGTACAGCCTGCCTGGAGGGATCTTCAGAAGGAGGACCAATAGGTGGCAAGGTGGAAATCTCGTGCCAATGGAAGAGAGCCTTCGGATCCTACCCTACACTCAACCTTCATCCCTTAGGAATGCTATTTTAGGCACATCAAAGCAGCGACAAAGCTCTATCAACCCCCTTATGGCAGAAAGAAAAAAGGTCGGAAAAAAGGAAGGGAAAAAAAGGAAAAGCATGTTATTTGATACACAAATGGCATCTTTTGGAACAAGTGCCCTGATTGAAAGGAGACAAGCATCAGGAAAAACAAACAAGCAGCACTTCTGTGCCCTTTCCATTGTACGTCTCTTTGAAAAGGCAACACGTTCCTATGGAGTTCAAAGCGGCTCCCCACGGCTGCCATTACACGAAGCCCCCTGACACTATAATTGAACAGAAATGTTCCGCTGTGCATTCGGCCCAATTACTACTCCCCAAAGGGATGCCTGCCCTCCTCTTCTATGCCTTTACCGTGAGCCTTGTTCAGCTTCACCTCTTGGATATTTGTGGAGTGCAAGATTCCATCATCGGCCCTAACACTGGCACTGCCTTTGGAGCAAAATGACAAGGGGATCAAAGCATTCCAAGATTTAAAGAGGAAGTTGAAAGGCGCATTGTTGAAACTGCCTTTGTAGATTACGGGGATCCCATTGTTCTCATGGTAATGGTGAGCTTTCGTCCATCTTTTGTAAGTGTAAGGAATATCTTAACCATGGAGAAGTGTCTTATGCAACCTGGGAGCTCTGCAGAAGGAGCAGGTGAAGGAAAATGGCTGGCTGTGTCAACAGGGACTCAAGCATATGAGATACATGCATCATGGATCAAAAAGTATAACTGCACACCTGATTGTTCTTGGGTACAATTCAAAGTGCTGGTTCTTACCTGTAAAGCCCACAAACAGGTGAGGACCAGGGTACCTGAAAGACAATCTCCTCCCGTAGTTCTGATAAGAGCTGTTCTTGAAAAAGAGCAGTTTCTGTCAGAGCTCTCTCAGCCCCACCTACCTCACAGGGTGTCTTTTGTGGGGAGGGGGAGGGAAAGGAGTTTGTAAGCCACTCTGAGACTCCTTTGGGTAGTGAAGGGCAGGGTAATTCAAACTCTCCTCCTCCTTCTTCTTCCCATACTGTCCAGCCCACCAGTTAAAGTCTGCTTCATCAGCTCCAAATTGCCAACATTTCAGTCGCAAAAGAGTTAAATTGATGTTTGCATGTCAACAGGATGGTACCCAGCTTAGCTGTAACCCACAGAAGTAGAGATAAGTTAGCCCAGGGAAAGTGTGGGTGGTAGTTAGTAAAGTAAAGTGGTCTGTAACCTCTCTATTGGCTAATCGATACAATATTTTGAAGAAGTGCTTTGATCATGTATGCACATGTATGCATCTATCTGCAACTTTTATTGTAGGTCTTCAACTCTTTGTTTGTGAGGATGAAGAAGAAGCCATTGTGCTTTAGCCATGTAATCGTCAGGATGTAACTCTAGAGGCTAGACTGTATGTTCTTTGCTTTACCTCCAAAGTCCCCCCCCCCACCTTGGTTTTAGTAAAGTACTTTTTTCTCTTCTTAAGCAAACACGTGGGAGTCAGTACTTGTTTATTTACTCTGCAATTTATAAATAGCTAACAATAGGCATCATGAGTGTTCCCCCTGCCCACAGAGGTAAGATGGATGGCAACCAGAAACAGGGCATTTTCTGTGGCGGCACCTTGCCTCTGGAATGCCCTTCCTCCCTTGAGGTTCACCTGGGTGCCTACTTTACTGCCTTTAAGATACCAGGCCAAAACACTTCTCCTTACCCAGAAGTTTTATCTTTTTTAGCTGTTTTATGGGCTGCTTTTGGCACGAGTTCTGTTTTATGGATATTTTTATGCTGTTTTTATTTCCCTGGCCTGCTTTTAATGGCTCGTTTTGTTTGTAGATCGATAGCTTAAAATGATATAATTTGAAAGCCACCTCAAGCAGGACTCTGAAGAAGTGGCCCAAAAAAAAAAAAAAATCCCCTTAAAAAAATCACTCAATAATGTTGTCACCAAATTACCTCAGAGTGAGCCACTCCTGACTGTCAAGGTCAGAGAAGAGCCCTTCAGTCAAACAATGAGTGCTACACCAAGCGACACAGGGTGGAAAAAAGGAAAGGTGCCAGACAGAAAGGTCTTGTAAACCGCACAGGCAATTGGCATATAAGCTGAGGTGGGATCCACACAGGGAAGCAATATACTCAGGGCCGGCTCACTCACTAGGCAAACTAGGCGATCGCCTAGAGCGGGACGGCCCTTAGGGGCGCCAAACTGAACCCGGCCCCGTACTCTGAGAGTTTCTTGATTATTTGTGTTTTTCATTCTTCCTAAAATGCATTTATTTTTGAAAATTGGTGGGCGCACGGGGGGGGGGGGGGCATAAGGGATCCTCGTCTAGGGCGCAAAATAAGCTGGAGCCATCCCTGAATATACTAGCTTCCCTCAGCAACAAATTGCCAAGGCTGAGGCAAATTGCCTCAGCCAAGGCAAATTGCCAAGGCTGTTAGACATTGGATCTCTGTGGCATGGGACTGGCTCTCCAGATTATGTGATACCCAGGATGAGGAAGATTCTGACTTGCCATATTAGTATCCCAATTTGAACTGCCTTCAGTTCTCTCCTCCAGTGAATGGTCTCAGTGGGAGTAGGGAATGATGGCTTGAATCAAAGGGTTCACTCAGTGATGTGTCCGTTTTATCCTGCCCTTTCTCCAAAGAGGAAGTGGACATGATTCCCCCTCCCCCCATCGGCCTCCTCACAACAACCCTGTAATATAGGTCAGGATGAGAGGCAGAGCGATTGATCCATGGTCACCCAGTACACTGCATGGCAGAGTGGAGATCTAAGATCAACACCTTAACTGCTACACTGCATAGCAGTTGTGTCCTGCTGACGCTCTTGACATAAGGACACAGGGACATAAGAAGAGCCAGGCTGGATCAAGCCAGAGGCCCATCTAGTCCAGCCTTCCATTCACACAGTGGCCACCCAGCTGCCTCTAGGAAGCCCCCAAACAGGAAGACTGCAGCAGCATTATCCTGCCTGCACTCCCCAGACATTTATTTAAAGAGGCATACTGCCTCTAGTATTGGAGGAAATAGATATCCATCATGACTAGCAGCCACTGAGAGCTCAGTCATCCATGGATTTGTCCAATCCCCTTTTAAAGCTTTCCTAGCTGGTGGTCATGACCACATCCCGTGGCAGCGAGTTCCAGAGATTAACTATATGCCGTGTGAAGAAATATCTCCTTTTATTTGTCCTGAATCTCCCACCCTTCAGCTTCAGTGGATGGCCCCAGGTTCTAGTAGTAGGGGAGAGGGAGAAGAGTTTTTCCTTGTCCACTCTCCCTGCACCATGCATAATTTTGTAAACCTCTTTCATGTCTCAAGTTGGAAGCAATGTTCCCTCTAAGCTGTGGAGTCTTGTGAGCAGAAATTCTACTTTGTGAGCTACCGGCATGAAAGTTGTGAGCGAGCGATTTGGCTATTGCATAAAACAGTTTGCTCTGGAGCCATCCTTCCTGAGCTTAGGCGAAAATGTGTGAGCTGGAGGCTAAAAACCTGTGAGCTAGCTCACACTAACTCAGCTTAGAGGAAACACTGGTTGGAAGCCTTTCGTTTCCCACACTCGCAAGAAGAGAGTTATGGAAGTCGGGTTGCCAGCTCTGAGGTGGTAAATTTCTGGAGATTTGTGGGTGGAGCCTGGAGGAGGGGGAGTCTGTGAACGGGAGGAAGCTCAGCGGGGATGTGATGCCATAATGTCTACCTAGCGGAGCTGCTCTTTTCTCCAGGGGAACTAACTACGCTTTGTAATCTGGAGATCAACGGTAATTCCAGCGGAACTCCAGCCCCCACCTGGAGGCTGGCAACCCTGTTTGAAAGCAAAGGCATCCAAATGATCTGAGGTCTGATGCTCAACTCCAGTTGTCATTATCCACTCTCAGGGGCTGATTAACACAAACCAGTAAGAGTTGTCTTCTCAGGAAGCCAGCACGGCTCTCTGTCCCAAGTCCCACGATGTAGGTTTCATAAGCAAGAGATAAATAGTCCCCAACACGTTAAAAAACAACAAAACCAACAAGATCCACCAGCTGAGAGCAGACCCGATGCCTCTGTGGTTGCCATGAAATGTAAGACTTGCTGAAGTTGTTACCTGCAGCCCTTTCTCCTCTATCTTCTGCTGGAGTATTTGAAGGCACTTGGTGAAATCCGTTAAGTCTTGATCTGGCGTTTCTATGATCTCACAGCCCTACGGAAGTAAAGTACAATAAAAAAGAAAGGAGAAAGGTAATAGATAATAGTTAATTTTCTTGCAAGTTCAAAGTTCAACCATAAGTGCTTCCCTTCCTTCCATTTTCTATGATAATTATACACTGGTATAAACATAGTGGATTTGAACAGACTGATCTTGATTCAGCTCCATTTTCAGGGAAGTGTTAAATAAAATGGTTAGCTTGTGCATTTCATCCATCCATTGGCTACATTTGCAGTGTAGGACAGTTCTGCCACTAAATTCAAGGTGGTTTTACAATGCAAAATAATTGCCTTCAGTAATATAAGCATGACACCAAAGGATAAAGGGACAAGAAGTCCCTGAAAAGGGAGCAAACTTGGACAGCGGCTCTTACAGAAATTATACACGGATTACATAATGACCATGCGGAACCGCCACTCCAGGAGATTTTATGTGACACACAGTGCAGTCCTAAACAGAATTACACCCTTCTAAATCCACTGAAGTCAATGGGTTTAGAAGGCTGATCCGTGTTGGTCTGAAGCAGTAGAACAAATTTAGAGTCCACTGGCACCTTTAAGACCAACACAGTTTTATTCAAGGAATGAGCTTTCCTGTGCATGCAGACTTTTTCAAATACATTGGAAAGGAAAGTAAGGGTCAAACTTATAGACAGGGGCTGAACAGCAAATTAACGTCTAACATGATGAAGATGTGCAAAGACAAACTAAATAACAAGCTACGGTTATAAGGTGACAGCAGCCATGAAATTAAAAGACGCCTGCTCCTTGGGAGGAAAGCGATGGCGAACCTAAACAGCATGATAAAAAGTAGAGACATCACCCTGCCAACAAAAGTCCGCATGGTCAAAGCAATGGTATTCCCAGTAGTCATGTATGGCTGCGAGAGTTGGATTATAAGGAAGGCTGAGCGCCGAAGAATAGATTATTTTTGAACTATGGTGCTGGAGAAGACTCTTGAGAGTCCCTTGGGCTGCAAGAAGATCAAATCAGTCAATCCTAAAAGAAATCAACCTTGACTGTTCCCTGGAAGGCCAGATAATGAAACTGAAGCTCAAATACTTTGGCCACCAAATGAGAAGGGAGCACTCACTGGAGAAGACCCTGACGCGGCCCCCGGGCCACCTGTTTGACACTCCTGCTATTTTGACATATTTATTGCTTTACGACTGCGGTGATCTGGGATCCCAGGAACGTGAGCAAGAGTGTTCTTTTTAAATATGTATATACAGATCTTTTGAGGACAGTCTTGACAGAAATGCTTATGCTGCTACGAGTGACCATTTCCAAACTCAGAGCTGTCACTACAAGCAAGAAAGGACCGGGATTATTTCTGAATGGGATGAATTGTGAGACGGCCTGGAGACCAGCCCCAAATGGCAGCTCCTGACCACTCACTAAAGACGGGTCCAGATTCAACCCACCTGGCAGCCTGTGAAACACCAAAGAGGCTTCTGGTTGACTGAAGCAGCAGCTGTCAGAAGCTGTACAATAACAGCAAAGGCTCCTGCTGCCCACTTGCAAACTCAGCCCCCAGCTGTGCTTAGTTTTCTTCTAACAGAGGAGATGAGCAAGGAAGGAACTGGAATTTCCCTTTGCTGTAAGTACCAACTGGGTGCTGCCAGTGCAGAAGAAGAGAAGAGATTGGATTTATACCCCGCCCTTCACTACCCAAAGGAGTCTCAGAGTGGCTTAGAAACTCCTTTCCCTTCCCCTCCCCACAACAGACACCCTGAGAGGTCAGTGGGGCTGAGTGACAGAAACTACTCTTTTTCAAGAACAGCTGTGCCGGAACTACGGCTTGCCCAAGGTCATCCAGCCAGGTGCAAGTGGAGGAGTGGGGAATCAAACCTGGTTCTCCCAGATTAGAGTCCGTGCACTTAACCACTACACCAAACTGGCTCTCCAGTTTGCACAGGTGAGTGAGTTGACGGCACATATTTTTTTTTTTCCCTCTCCTAAAAAGGAGAGAAGTTTTGCTTTTACAATTCAGAAAGTTAGGAAGGGTATATAGAGGGATAAAGAAAAGTTTTGAGTGGTGTTAAATGTTAGTATGTTAATCTTTTAAAATTAAAGTTAAAGTCAATAGCTTCTTCCGTTGTTGGACGATTCTCTTTTCATCTCTCTTGTTCAAAACTAGGTCAACATGTTAGTAATGTCCTTTTGGGATTAGTATTACTTTTAAAGCATTGTCTGAAATAGTCTTTAAACTTTGGGGTCTTTCCCTTTTTTATCCCTCAAGTTATACTTTATGCCAGTCGCTCCTTTGACTTCCTCCTCCTTCACCTCTCCTTCCGAGCTGCTGTCATCTCCGCTGGCTCCTGACATCTACTTGGCAAGTTCTGCTTCTTCTTCTGTACTGGTGTGCCTCTTCAAAAAGTCTTGAGCCTTGAAGATAGAATCTATCTTTTCTCTTCTGTCTTTAAATTTAAAGACCAGTCCTTCGGGCACCAACCACCTGTAATTGATTTGGTGATTTTGTAAGAAAATGGTCAGTCCTTTATATTCCTTTCTTTTCATTCTGATTTCAAATGGAACATCTTTCAAGATCCTGATCGTTTGATCTCCAATTTTCAAGGGTGTTGCTGAGACTGCTTTTAAAATCTGATCTCGGAGACGTTGCTTTGTAAATTTCACCACCACTTCCGCCGGCAACTTATTTTTCTTTGTAAAGTTGGAATAGGCTCGATAAGCCAAATCCATCTCTTCTTTTATTTTTTCCGCTTCATTGCCAGTCAGTGGTGCTAAAGCTGTCACCAAAATGTCTCTGAGGTCCTCCTTTTCCTCCTCCTTCAACCCTTGGAATCGAAGAGTTGAATTCGCTTTCTCCATTTGGAGCAGTAATAATTTATTTTCCTGTTTGTCTTGTTGCTTTTCCACTTTAATGACCTTTTTCTTAACACTCTGTATTTCTTCTGTTGATGCCGACGGCACGTATTTTTATTTATTTATTATTTGTATCTATATTCCGCCCATCCCGCGGATGGGCTCAGGGCAGGTAGCATCATTACAGTAAATATAATTATAGTTTAAAACACAATAAAATGCAACTTGTAAACCGCTCAGAGACCCTTCGGGGTTGGAGCGGGGTAGAAATCGAAGATATAAATAAATAAAATAAATAAATATAAACATTAAAAATAATGGGTAGAGCTTAAAACAGAAGTCAACTGGCTACAAAAATTCTGGACTTATGGTACAGGCGAAATAAAGGCCAGTCGTCAGTAGTCAGTAGGTGGGCGGGTGACAGCAACCTCAGGGAGGCCATATGTGGGCACCCGTTGCCTCAACCAAAGGCCTCGTGGAACAGCTCCGTCTTGCAGACCCTGCGGCATTGAAGAAGGTCCTGCAGGGCCCTGGTCTCCATAGTGAGCATTTTCCACCAGGCTGGGGTCAGGACAAAGAAAACCCTGTCCCTGGTCAAGGCAAGATGGACGTCCGTCGGGCCAGGGACCACCAGAAGGTGTTGATCCATAGAACGTAGTGCTCTTCGAGGTATATATGGGAAGAGGCGGTCCCTTAGAAATGATGGTCCCAGGCCATATAAGGCTTTGAAGGTCATCACCATCACCTTGAAGCAAATCCAGTACTCAACTGGCAACCAATGCAATTGGTAGAGCACATGTCTAATGTGAGCCCGCACAGGCGTCAACATTAGCAGGTGTGCCACCACATTCTGCACCAGATGTAATTTCTGGGTCAGCCTCAAGGGTAAGCCTGCTTAGAGTGAGTTGCAGTAATCAAGTCTGGGAGTGACCATTGCATGGGTCACCGTAGCTAAGTCTTGGGGGGGAAGATAAGGCTTCAGTAACCTGATCTGCCTGAGATGGAAAAAATGCAGATCTGGCGACTGCAGTGACCTGGGCCTCCATGAAAAGAGAGGCACCCAGTGCCACTCCCAGGCTCCTCACTGTCTGGGCTGGCACCAAAGGTACCCCCTTCCAGTGTGGGGAGCCTGGTGCCCACATCCACACACACCCGCCCAGTAGAGGGCCTCCATCTTCGATGGATTTAACTTCAACTAACTCTGCCCAACCATCCAGCCACAGCATCCAAAGCCTCAGCCAAGTTTTCAGGAATGGAAGACAGCTGGCTGTCCATTATCAGACAGAGCTGGGTGTCATCAGCATACTGATGACAACCCAGCCCACAGCTCTGGACTAACTGGGCAAGGGGGCACATAGAGATGTTCAATAGCACTGGTGAGAGGATTGCCCCCTGTGGCACTCCACATTCCAGTGGGTACGATGGGGAGACCCTCTCGCCAAGCACCACCCTCTGTCCCTGATCATGGAGGAAGGAGGAAAACCATTCCAACGTAGTCCCCTGAACTCCTACGTTGGCCATGTGGTGGGTCAGTAGATCATAGTCGATTGTATTAAATGCTGTCGTTAGGTGTAATAGCAACAGCAGTGCCGATCTGCCCCAATCCAGATGTCTATGGAGGTCATCTGTAAAGGCAACCAGAGCCGTCTCCCATGACCAGGGTGGAAGCTGGACTGGAAGGAATCAAGGATGGTTCACACACTTATACCACCAACAGTTTTGAGTGGAGATAAGAAGACCTGCTTATTCCCCTCGTTGACTATCCTGTATGGTGGGGACCTTCTGGATACGTATTAACTGGAGGGCTCAACAGAAGAGGAAGCGGAGGAGGAGGAGGAGGAGGAGAAGGAGGAGTTGGTTTTCATACCCTGCATTTCTCTATCCTAAGGAGTCTCAAAGCAGCTTATAACTGCCTTCCTTTCCTCTCTCCACAACAGACACCCTATGAGATAGGTGGGGCTGAGAGAGCTCTGAGAGAACTGTGACTGGCTCAAGGTCACCCATCTGGCGTATGTGGAGGGGTGGGGAATCAAACCCGGTTCTCCAGATTAGAGTCCGCCACTCTTAGCCACTATAGCACGCTGGCCCCATTGGACTCAGAAGCTACCAAGTTTTTTAACAAGTGAGTTTCGCATATTGGCACCTTGTGACTGAGGTGTACACCAGTGG